TCCAATTGGCAATTTTATGTCTCACACTATGAGATGGAGCAGTTCTTTCTACTCCCTCCTGACTTATGCTTGGTCATTGTGACCAGTGAACAGTTCAGATTTGTGACTCATCTACATTTTAGCTTATCACCTAGTGAAATCTCCCCTCATTCTTCTACTTGTTTGTTTGGGTTTTTTTTCTAGTCCCATTTCCCAATAATTTTGGTCCTACCTGTTATGACTCCCAAATGGACACTAGGGATCTTCACTTAGTAACTTGATGTACTCATACCTCAGCCCCAACTCCTGACTATGGACCTGGGACAGGGTAAAGGTGCCTATGACTGTGACTGGCTAGCTGCAAGCCTTTGTGACAAGGCTATCATGCAATCCCTGCTGCTGTGTCATAGTCAGAACTGTAGTGGCATCGCTCATCACTTAACTGGTCCTATCCAATCATATTTTGACCATTTACATTGAATTCTGTTTTATTCCCACAATATCTACACTAATAAAAGAGAAACGTGCAAATTAACCATCATTCTGTCACTCCACCACTCCACTACACCCACCAGCCAATCAGAGAAACTATGCAAATTAACCAAACAAAGATAGTGGTTAATTTACATACACAGGCGCGGAGTGAAGCCTGAATGTGGGAAACTGAATAGGGTTAAGCCTCGGACTGACCTGCTGGCAAAGTCACAAACAAGTCCTAGCTTAGAGGCCACAATCCTCTTAGCTTAATTAGGCTTGAACTTAAAACACTCCCTAGGTCTTATCTGGGAATCTAATGGGCTGAGAAGTGCAGGAAGTATAACCATGGTGTAAACAAGTGAAACTCACAAGAACTGTGTAACTATGGTAACCACTACCTTGTTTACCTCTCACTATAAAAAGCTTGGTGAGGCCTGAGCACAGTGGAAATCCTTCCTCTTGAGTTGGACTTGCCGCCTGGTCTCCCAATATTCCCAAATTATCTAGTGTCTTTTCTATTTCATTTGTGTGCGGCTCCTCTTCCAGACCCGAACATTATAGACTTTTGATTTGCATGCTTAAGGACTTAAAAGTTTCAGAAGGTAATCTCAAAATTTTTGCTTGATATTATAGAACATAGCCCTTGTTTTCTTGAAGTAGGTACATTAGATCTTGAAAGTTTGCCAAAAAGTTAGTCAGAACTTGAAAGAAAAGGTCAACAACAGGGAAAAAACTTGCCTCCAAAAACTGTTTTCCCTTGTGGAACACGGTATTTCATTTGCTAGAGCCTTTAAGAGAGGCCAAGGAGGATAAATCTCCTCCCCTTGCACCCTCCACTCCTAAAGAGGAGCAGAAAGAAAAGAAAAAATGGGAGGAATGGCTTTCATGGCTCTCTCCACCTCCATGTTGTAATCCAGAAATGTTTAATTCTCCGTTAATAGAATCACCTGTGCTAAAAGGCCAAATTATAAAGAAATTGGAATATTAAAAGGTACTCCTTTAAATCAGACTGAAAAAAGAGTGCTATGGTCATCTTAATGTGGTTTCTTGTTCAAATTAAAATCTTAATTTGTATTTGGAATCTAAAATCTGTAATAAGAAATGAAACCCTGCTGCTGAGTCCGCCTCTGGTGTGGAGAGATTCAAAGGTGGCAGAGAGAGGGCGGAGCTATAAGCTCTCCCGCAATGAGATTACTTAATGTATTATTTAAAAATTACTGGAGAACATGTTGGGAAGTTCAAAGTTTGGCTAAGATAACCTTGGGTGCTAGCCATAACTTTGGAAAGAGAAAAAGGAAAAAATTTTAAATGTCTTTTTCTATTAAGCATGACTTTGGGAACAAATACGCCATCTGAGTCATTTGCTGAAACTTCCCCCAAAGCAGGATGTGGGGAAAGCGAAGAAGGGAGCACATGGCGATTCAATATGGATGCCTCCTCCCCAAGTATTCTAATTTAAACCCTTCTCGTGATTGAAAAGTTTTTCTTTACAAATGTACAGAATAAAACCCCAAGACTGATTATTTTCTAAAGAAAAATGGCAAATTTTACCCAAAGGAAAAAAGATGCTGGCTAGATTCTAGCAACAAGATTGGCATATTTCCATAATAAAGAACAGTTTTTAAATGTTAATGAAGGGTGTTAAAAAGTTCACCTCAAGGCCGAAAAGGAAATTCAGTAAAATTGTCCCTGTTACAAAAATTTGCTAAAGAGTATGCCTTAAAATAATTTGGGTTTGAATCTCAAGAATTGTTCTTGAAATATATTAATTATAAAAATAT